GGCAGGGAGAGCCGGCGAGAAACGGGGCGCGGGCCTCCGAGTGGGGGGCGGGACCGCGGGCTGCGCCGAAACTCGGGTGTTTCCCATTTGTCAGCCCCGGGGGCGCGGGAGCCGTTAGAGAGTGCGGTGTCGGCGAGCTGTCCGGGTCGCCTCCGGAGGTGGTAGCGTTCCACGTGAAGGCAGCGCCAGGAGACTGGAGAACAGGTGGCTTCTGGAGTTTAGTGTCAAAAACGGCCCAGCGTGCGGCCGGAGCCGCCGTTCAGACCCAGACTGCGCTCCTGATTAAAAGCTGCTCTTCCTTCCCAAGAAGTCGTCCTGCAGCTTGATGATGCTTGCAGAATGCGCTTGACAGACAAGGCCATGTGTCTGTCCAGCGGTTACGCGATCCGGTCTTGTGCAAGGCTTCGCTGGACAGTGCAGCGTGCCCCGCGCCTTCTAGACACCGCGCGGCCTCCAGGACGGTGCCAGCCTGGAGGGTCCCGGCCCGAGCCCACGACTCCAGGCAGTGGGTTGGGCGTGTGTTTGACCCAGGCCGTGAGGGCTGAGGGGGAGTGAGGACCAGGGACAGGGCTGGAGTTAGGTGCTAGTATTTCCCCCTCCCCCCCCCCGTGTGTGTGTGTGTGTGTGTGTGTGTGTGTGCGCGTGTGTGTGTGTGTGTGTGTGTGTCCTTTACAATTTTTGGAATTTCAGATGAGGATACAAAGTGGCCAAGGCACTTGCTTGTGTGAAAGTTCCACAACAGCAGTGAGCCTCTGCGGAGCGCAGTGCTCCTTTCCGCGCATATTTTTAGCATGACCATTTGTACTTCCTTGGCAAGTGCTGTCCGTCTTCGCTAGGCCGCTGGGCCATCTTCACATTTATAGCATGTTAAATGGGGGCACTGAGACGGTGGCCACATACTTTGGCAGTGACGTTAGCAGCAACTGTGCAACTGTGAGTGTCAGTTTAATAATAAGTTGTATAACGTCGGTCAGGAAGGAACCGCAGGTGGTGATGACCGCGCTGCTAACTTCTCTCCATGAGAAATTTCTTCCCTAGTGAATATGACTTTCTTATAAAATGACTTCCTGGGATTACATTTTATTTTTAAAAAATTAACTATTATATCTATTTCTCTTGTGACAAAAGAGCTAATTTTCAATCATAAAATACCCATTTTTCCCCCTGAAATTTCCATTTAACTATCTTGATAAATTAATGCTTTTCTATCATATCCATTATCCTTAAAAGCATGATCATAATTAACTGATGCAATACATTAATTTGACACCATTCACTTTTACATTATAAAAGTGTAAATATGACTTTTTGTTATAACTATCAAGCTCTTGTTTTAAATGACTTAATGGCTGCACCAATTCTTATACCAGTTAAAAGCTCATAGTCTATCATTTTAAAATCTCCCCAAGATTTACTTTTATACTACTGCAATTAAAGCAGTATATTTCCAAAATAGCAAATTCTACAAATTTGGCTAGGTAACTTTGTAGCTAGAGTTTATTACATGTATTTACAGTGACCCAGTATCCTGATTTATAACTAATTATTCAGTATTCGGTCAGAATTTAGAATTTATATTAGTTCAGTAGCTGTCACTGAAAAGAGGGAGGGGTGGTTGTCAAAGTAAAAAAAAGAAAAGAAAAGAAAATGAAAACCTAAATATCTAAATTTATTATATTAAAACACTTAGGACAGGTTTTAAATGTTCTTGGGACACATCCTCTCCTTTTTAAGATACTTAAAAACAGTTTAAATTTACATTTTATCTTTTAAATATGGAAGTACAAAGTATATTTTGTTTTTCAGAAAATATTATATTCTTAATTATGTTCTTTTAAATTCTAATTGCATCCCAGTTGCTAACAATTTCTGGCCAGTGTTCTATGGCTAAAGTGTAAGGATGGGTGGAGAGCACAAATGTATGACACATGTTCTACTCGGCATATATGAAATGCATTCTCGAGAACGTGGAGCAGGCTCTCTAGAGTTATATACATTCTGTGCCATTACAGAAATATCCATTTTAAAAGAAACACGGGGCTGGGGTGTAGCTCAGGGTGCTCAGCCTGTGTGTGCCCAGTGTGCCTGAAGCACCAAAAAGAGACAGAAGAATGAGTTGGAGTCTTTCAAAGTACAGCTTCCCTTGGAGGAAGGTCTGGCGCCTTCGCCCCAGGGGTGTAGTTTTTGGGTTGCTGTGGTGTGTTCCTTGAGCTCCTGGGCTCAGAATGATCCTCTGATCCTTCTTCTTTTCCCTAGGGCTCAGGAGGAGTGAGAGCCTGTCAGAAAAACAGGTGAAAGAAGCCAAATCCAAATGCAAGAGTATCGCTCTGCTGCTCACGGACGCCCCCAACCCCAGCTCCAAAGGGGTGCTGATGTTTAAGAAGCGCCGGCGCAGGGCCCGAAAGTACACCTTGGTCAGCTACGGCACTGGGGAGCTCGAGAGGGAGGCAGGCGAGGAGGAGGAGGAGGAGGAGGAGGAGGAGGGCTTGAGGGAGCACACGGGCGAGCTCGCGTTCCTCCACACCAGTGAGTCAGAGGCGGACGAGGACCTGCTGTCTGACACTGACCACAGCGGGCAGGCTGTGAGCTTCGACTGGGACTCTGGACTGGTGGGCATTGAGAGGAAGCTGGAGAGAGGGGATAAAATGGAGATGTTGCCAGACACCACGGGCAAGGGAGCCCTTATGTTTGCCAAGAGAAGGGAGAGAATGGATCAGATCACAGCCCAGAAAGAAGAGGAGAGAGCCGGCGAGCTGGCCGGGAGAGAAGCCGAGGCTACCCTCGCGGACGGCCTAAGAACCATGGCCTCCTACCACAGCACAGAGGGGCAGTCTGTGAGGGTTCAGAGCTCAGTGAGCAGGAGCTACATCCAGCTGGGCCCGAGTCCCGGCCACGCGCCCCAGCAGAACGGCCTCAGTGGGGGCTCTGTGGCAGCAGAGGCCCAGAGGATGATCCCCATGAACAGAACCGCCAAGCCCTTCCCCGGGTCTGCGAACCCACCAGCAGCCCCCTTCTCCCCCACCCGGAGCATGACAAGTCCCATCTCTGACTTCCCGGCACCTCCACCTTACTCTGCGGTCACTCCTCCACTGGACGCTTTCTCCAGAGGGGTGTCAAGTCCCGTGGCTGGCCCAGCACAGCCCCCTCCCTGGCCTCAGCCTGCCCCGTGGACCCAGCCGGGCTTCTACGATTCTTCTGAGCGCATAGCTTCCCGGGATGAGAGGATCGCAGTGCCGGCCAAGAGAACGGGAATCCTGCAGGAAGCCAAGAGGAGAAGCACCACGAAGCCCATGTTCACCTTCAAGGAGCCCAAAGTAAACCCGAACCCCGAACTCTTGTCCCTGCTTCAGAGTGCAGAGGGCAAACGGGGCACTGGAGCCGGCGGCGACTCGGGGCCCGAGGAGGACTACCTCAGCCTGGGAGCAGAGGCCTGCAATTTCATGCAGAGCCCCTCTGCCAAACAGAAGACCCCCCCTCCTGTGGCCCCCAAGCCTGGGGTGAAGTCTGCCTCCCAGCCAGTCACTCCAGTGTCTCCAGTGTGGGCTCCAGGGGCGGCTCCCACACTCCCTCCTGCCTTCCCCACGTCCAGCCCCCCGCAGGGCACCGTCGTCTCCTCCATCAAGGTAGCCCAGCCCTCCTATGCTCCTGCCCGGCCCACGAGTGCGCTGAACCTGGCCGGTCCCTTTAAAGGACCCCCGGCAGCAGTGGCCAGTCAGAACTACACCCCGAAGCCAGCAGCACCCGCTCCCCGGGGCGGTGCTGCTCCTTCTGCTGCGGCAGGACCCTCCACCGAGCTGCCTGGAATGAGTGGGAAGGGGGCCCAGCTCTTCGCCAAAAGGCAGTCGAGAATGGAGAAGTACGTGGTGGATTCCGACACCGTGCAGGCTCACGCCACCCGGGCACAGTCGCCCACGCCGTCCCTCCCAGCCAGCTGGAAGTACTCCTCCAATGTCCGCGCACCGCCTCCGGTGGCCTACAATCCCATCCACTCCCCCTCCTACCCGCCGGCTGCTCTCAAGTCTCAGCCGTCGGCCCCACAGGCTTCCAGAGTGGGCAAGAAGAAGGGCAAGAAGCCCCTCAATGCTCTGGACGTCATGAAGCACCAGCCGTATCAGCTCAACGCATCCTTGTTCACCTTCCAGCCTCCAGGTGCCAAGGATGGCCTCCCCCAGAAGCCGCCCATCAAAGCCAGCCCAGCCCCGGCTGTGAACCAAGCTCCACCTCCCGGGTCGGTCACCATGGGCTCTCCCAGAGCCGCGCAGGCTCCCTCCGTGTGCTCCCTGCCAGCCTACGGCTCCCAGCCCTGCCACTTTGCAGAGCCCACCTCGCCAGCCAGCGCGTCCCCAGTGCCTGTGGGCGTCCCCGCCCCTCCCAGGCAGGAGTCGGGCTCCTCGTCTTATTTTGTGGCACCCAGGCCCAAGTTCTCTGCCAAGAAAAGCGGAGTTGCTGTGCAGGTGTGGAAACCATCTATCGTGGAAGAGTAGCCTTGTGGCCACCACCACCGTCCACTAGCTTGAAATAAGTTGTTTGCAGTGTTGCTTGAGCCCTGAGAATGCCTAGCAGATCCTCCACTTGCTTAATTTCAGATAGGTCACCTCCCAGTCTGGGTCCAAGGAGTCAAAAGTCCAACTCAGATTAATTTAGGATCTACTTCTTGGCACACTTTAAAAATCTGAATCCCCACATAGATACGTGCCAGTCCTTGAAGTAAGCAGGATACTTAGGATTTATGCTTTAGCCACGAGAAAGACAGCCGTCAGCTCATCAAGGTCAGGACGCTGCCTTGGTGCTGGGGCAGAGGTGGAGGACACAAGCGCGTGTAAGCTGAGACTTCCCTTCTAAGCTGAGCTCAGCCTCTTTGGCTAGGTCCAGGGAGTGAAGACTGTCGAGGGTGGGGTGGGCTCTGGGCGGCCCCCTCAGACCCGACTTGGCATCTCAGAAGAGGTGCTGGGGCACGCCAGGCTGAGGGGTTGGGGAGGGGAGGTCTGAGATGGGTTGAGCACTCTTGGGCAGACTCCCTGCTGGGTGTCCGTGCATGCAGTGGCCACTTCAGAAGACTGACCTAGAGTGACCAGGAGAGGGCAGAGAGGGACACATTCCCAGATGGACTCCTCCCCTCCCAGTTGCTGAAGGGCCAGGCGCGTCCATCTCCGATTGCCCATGAAGGTGCAGGTGGTTTTTCTGGGCTGAGGCAGGTGGCAGAGAGCAGGGCAGGAAATAGCTCGAGAAGTAGGGGCAGGTGCCTGCAGAGCCACACAGTGGGGACCCAAGGGTCCCTGGCTTGAGCAGGAGGAGCTCCCTGCAGGATACTCAGGGTGAGCCCCAGCGTGGCCACGCAGACCTCTGTGCCCTGTGCTCTGGGGGAGGGCTTTGCTGCTGCTCACAGCTGTCCTGGCACCTCCACTTTCCTCCTCTGTGATGGACCAGGGTTTGCAGGCAAGGTCGCCTCGTAAGTGTGGATGGCCACACCAGGCCTTGTCCCCCTGGCCACCAGGTTGACAATGGCACTGAGAGTAGACCCAAGAGCTTTCCAGAGCTGAGTGTGACCATCCACGGAAAGTATTCAAAAAGAGGTGTGCAGACAGCTACACGCAGGTATGCAGATGGTAGGTGTGTAGAAAGGCCCAAGGAGAACGTCACTCTGTGGGGGGGGACGCTCAGAGACCTCTCGTAGAGACCCTCGTGGCTGGGGGGCACGCAGCACCACCCACCCTCTGAAAGCTCTCTGCTCCTGTCCTTTTCCTGTGGTCACTGTGCATCACTGTTTTTCATTGTCCTATTAAAATATTACTGTCCTCTTTATCTGCTCATTGTACATACTTTTAGAAATCTGCCTTGTTGAGTTATTCTGACGTCACTTCTCAGCTATTTCTTTCGTAGTGTCTGAACTTCCTTTGAGTGAGCATCCGTTTCTTCACAGATTGTAAGACTGCGAGCCTCAGCTGTTTCTGCAGCGTACATTAAGAGGAGAATTAAGCCAATGCCAACCATGGGACTGATTCCTGCCATTGTGTTTGGTGGCAATACAACCACAGGAAGTGGGCCTAGGATTTGCCTTTTCATGAAATCAATCAGGAAGATGAGTGTGGGATAGAGGGGAAAGCAATCTACCCCTTACATAACACAGCCCTTTCTGTTCTGTGTCCCTGTTGGGTGCTGTGTGTTTTGCATTGTTTTCTAATAGAACAACCCAAAGAGCCTTCGTCAGGTGTAGCCCGAAAGGAACTTATTCTCCTGAGTGCTTACCTAGATCACTCTTGAGTGCTTACCTAGATCTTTCTAAATGCATACTTACCTAGATCACTCTTTTTTAAAACAAAATATTCACTTTTTAGTTGTAGTTGAACACAATACCTTTTTTTAAAAAAAATTTTTAATGTGGTGCTGAGGATCAAACTCATGTGCTAGGCAAGTGCTCTACCGCTGAACCACAACCCCAGCCCAGACTGAGTGCTGACCTAGCCTCTGAAGCATGGCAAAAGTTAGAGGAAATATGTGGACCACACTGACCGTCAGTTTGAGATGGGCCAGAAGTGTCCCAGATGGTCGTCTTCCCATTGTCTAGAGTGTGGTGCACAGGAATGAGAAGTGTTTGGGGCCCGTTTCCTGTTGGACAGGTGGCAGTCTGCAGAGCTCTGTTGCAGTTGGTGACTAAGGGCGGCTAACATGCCTGTGTGTTCTTGTCCTCTGGGGACAGGCTTCCCAGAAAGCACCCAGGAGTTTGCCGGCTCACAGCGGAAGCATCCGGTTTCCATCCTGGTAGTGGGGGCTTATCTGGGATCAGACTTTATAGGAGAAAGGTGGAGATTCTGCAGGACGATGCACGCAGCAGAGTTTGACTTCTCTGGAGAACACAGGAGGGAGGGAGAGAGATTTCCTTTCCCTCTTCTCCCACTGGGCCTGTGTGGCCAGGTCCTGGAGGGCTGGAGGGCTGGACTCCAGCCGAGCCGCCCTTGGGGGCCACTCTGCAGCCTGCATTTGCGCTCTGTGCTGTGGAGGTGGGTTGATTGGTTGGTGGGGGCTGAGGTCTGGGAGGCATCATCCTGGCTCTTGGTTAGCTTGGTGGCCAGGCAGAGTGCCTAGGCCTGGTTGTCAGCGCAGTAGCCGCACTCCTAAGAGGGTACTGCATCACATTAGGAGCTGTAGTGCCACCTCAAAGAACCCTCTGTGCAGGTGACAGGGCACTGGGATGTACGATGCCGGTAGCGGGCGACTTACTGCAGGGCTTTGGGCAAAAGGCTCTTCCTGCGGGCTTCCCTAGCAGGACCTCCGGCCTCTCCTCCAGGCGGGCGGGTTGTGCAGAAGGGGCAGGAGGCTGTGTGGACAGAGCTGCTGCCCGTCCTGTGAAGTGCATACGGCTGGTTGCAGGGAGAGGCTGGGAGTCTGAGCGAGGTTGCCACTTGGCCTTAGAACATTCAGTTCTGTTTCTCACATCTCCATAGTGGACCCACTGTGTGCTGGAAGCAGCATCTCTGCCCTTGGACCAGCCACTGACAGCATGAAGCCCGCACCTAGAGCACTCTGGCCATTCCAGAGCGTGGAAAGCCACGCACATCAGAGATCTAGTAAGATGCTTAACGATCCCATGACCAACTCCCATTTTGCACCAACTCTCCACTTAATCCTCACTGGGCGCGGCCCTTTTGATCCCAGCTGAGCTGTTCTGGTCCATGCCGACCACCTCCCCGGCAGTCCGATGCTCTAGAGCAAGACCCACATCTGCAGTGTCACTAACAGTGTCCCACACTTAAGCGGGTGGACTAATGTATGTGGGAGCCTTTCCTGCTGGCCATGGCTGAGGGTCCTCCTCCGCCAGTGGGCACGTCACAGGCACTGTCCACGCAGCTCTCCAAGGCAGAAGATGAGAGGGTCTGCTCTGGGGGCCAATCGCAAAGGCCCTGCTGCCTGCAGCTTCTCAGTTGTACCCCAGAGAACCTGCGAGCTCCCCTTCCAAGGCGAGTTTCTGAATCGGCACCCAGTCACCAGCCGCCCCTCAGAAGGGTCTGTGGTGGGGCATGAGGGAAGTGTGGACCGAGAGGGTACTGCTCCAGTCCCTCTGAGGGAGGTGCGGTGCCCTGCCCCTACCCTCCCCCTGCCCTCCCAGAGCCAGGCGGTGGGCTTGTGCTGAGATGTGTTTGAAAGTTCATGAGAAAAGCCTGTAAATGCCAAGAACCGACACTGCTTTCCCAGAAATAGTGACCTCACTGGGGTCCTGTCCCCATGTCACTGGACTCTGGGGGACACAGACTCCAGCAACACTTCAGAGCTGCCAATGGAGTCGACAAGTGTTCTGGGAAAATGCAGAGCAGGGAATCTCCTCCCGACTCCCGGGTGGCCTGGGGTGCAGCAGCTGGTAGACCCCACAGGGCCCACAGAGCAGGCAGAGGGCCATGCAGTCACCCCTCAGCACCAGCCCCAGGAGCCTCGAATTAGAACCATCGTCTCCCAGGGCTACCTGGTAGTCAGTTTCTTAAATTTTAAGAACTTGTGTTTCTGTGGTGTGTGTATTTGTACACTGAAGTAGCATTTGGAAATCTTGGAACTACTCCGAGGCAATTGAAGGAAGAAGAATTTAATTAGGTCCCCACATCTGGCCTGAGATGCAGCTTGGTGGCCAAGCACTTGCTTATCCATGTGAGACTCTGGGTCCCCCCCAGCACATGGACAAGTGAGCCCAGTCCTGTCAGGTTTTCCTCAGACTCCTGGCTTTATGGACAGCTCCCCACCAGGAGGGTGCCCTTCCACAGCTGTGGCTCAGGCCTTCTTTTCCGTATGGAGACACCCCATTTTTCAGATTTTCATTTTGTTGAAAGCTCCTTGTGCTTGTGAGAGTTCCTGGTCTTGAGGTGTTTATCTGCAGTGTGTGCCCACGCATGGGGGTGCACGTTCAGGGCAGCTGGCAGCCCACTCCTTCCCTGGGTGCTGTGCAGAGTGATGGCTGGGTCGGGGCTGCCTGGGAGAGCCTGCCTTCCCACTCTGCTGCAAGGCGGTTCGTGGAAAACCTTCCTGCCCTGCAGCTGGCCCTGGGCTGGGAGGAAGGTCCACACGAGGACCACGCTGTGCCCGAGCGTTGGTCTGGCACTTCCTTCAGGGGTCTCAGGTGTATTTAGCTGGGGAATTACTGTTTCCAGGTCACGGGTGCAAATCAGGGTGCACAGTGAGGGGAGCCTGGTGCCTTCAGATGACCTGGGCCCCAGGCAAAGGTGGGAAGAGGGAGGGGTGCCAGGAAGTGGGCCGGTCACTGCCCTGAGGCTGCAGTGATGGAGACCCCAGCCAAGCAAACCTCAGGGCCGAGTGCCTTTCAGGAAGGACTCTCTTGACCAGGGGTCTTACGGGACAGACCATCCTCAGCCCCACCTCAGGGACACAGATGGACCCCACAACACCAGGGCTGAGTGCCCGGCCCAGGAGAGGAGGGTATGAGGAGCCACTGCTCAGCTTCTCCTGCAGCCAGGTGTTCCCCACGTCACCTGGAGCTGGGGGCCAGATGGCTCATTCAGCAGCCGCCCAGCTGCAGCAGTGGGCTCGGGTGGGTGTGTGGCCTCCCTGCCCGTGAGTCCTGCAGAACTGGGACCCGCTGCCCGAGCCCACTCAACTGTGGAGCCTGTCTGCACAGGCCCAAGGTTTGGCCTGTCCAGTCACTTTGGGAAGGGATCAGTCACAAAGCCAGAGGTGAAGTACAAGTGAGTCTGTGTGAACCCCCGGATTCTCCCAGTTTCTAATTTGGGGATGAACAGGGGATCTTTGTGACATAAAAGGAGGGGCTCCCCTACTGTATCACTCGGGGGCTTCCTTACCAGTGGTGAGTTGGCACTGAGCCTAGTCTGCTCCAAAACCACCCTGACCCGGGGCGTTTCCACAGGGGTCATCCCAGACAGGGGACCTCCAGGGTCCAGCATTTCGAGGCTCACACTGCCCACAGTAGCCCCTGGGACCTGGGACCTGGGAGCCGCCCTGGGTGTGCCAGGCAGCAGAGCCCCTGGGGTTCCCCACACTCTTTCCCCCAGAGACTCCAGCAAGGGTGCACTGACACCCACGTTCTCCCAGGTCTCATGGCTACTTTGAAAACACCTGCACAGGCACCAGGGACCTAGGTCCCGAGGGTAGGTCCTGCCTGCACTGGCTCTAGGGTCAGGAGGCCGCGGGTTAGTCATGAGGCCACGTGTGCTCACAGAGCGTGGCTGCCTGTGGGAGACAGGTGCCTCTGGGCCCTCTGCAACCCTTGGCCACGTTAGAGCACCAGTGGCGTGAGGACTTTCAGATGGGAAAGCGCAAGTGGAGGAGAACCAGGGGCCGTTCTGAGCAAGGAGGCTGAGACTCACCACTCAGTGGTCCAGCCACAGCACCCTGACCACCAGGGTGCCCCAGCTCTCGTGATGCAGTGGACGTGGGTCACAATGGAGGCAGTTGCTCACCAGAGGCAAACAGCAAACAAGTCTCAGAGTTGACAATTATGTCACCTTCTAAACAAATGTGATAAGTCATTGAAAAAGCTCAGAGTTCCACAGTTCCCAGGGACAGACAGACAGGGCGCATCGGGGAGAGCTGCAGGTTTTGTTTCCATGGGCCTCTCTGCTGACCTCACAGTCCAGGAGGAGAAGGTCCGCATTTCCTGGTTTCCCTGGGTGGATATTCACTTCGACGCCCACCGCTGCCAGCAGCCAGCACCCAGCACCAGGGCCAGCTAGCATATCATCAGGGCCCGGCTGATTGGCACCAGGCAGAGTAGGGAAAGACAAGATCCTCCAAGTCTGATAACAATATTGAGAAAAGATGTTTCCACATTTATAAATTTAAAACCAGCTACGATTTGATTTGGGGGAACTGAAAGGTAACCACTTCTTCCCTGAGCTGCTCACGACTGGGTGAGAGAAGCTCGCACCTTCCCAGCACAGAGGCATCCCCAATGGTTAGGAGCAGGCTGTGGCCACACCAGGCCCCAGCAGAGCCTGCGCCCCAGCCAGACCTACACTCCAGCCACCCCTGCACCCAGCCATTTGTCCCCCAGCCACAACTGCCTCCAGACAGGCCTGCATCCCAGACACCCCTGCACCCAGCCACACCTGCATGCCAGCCACGCCTGCCCCCCAGCCAGGCCTGCATGCCAGCCACCCCTGCACCCAGCCACACCTGCACCCAGCCAGGCCTGCACCCCAGACACCCCTGAACCCAGACACCCCTGCACCAAACCATACTTGTACCCCAGCAAAGCCTGTGCCCCAGATACCCCTGAACCCAGCCACCCCTGCACCCCAATGGCCCTTCTCCCCGCCAGTCCTTCTTCCAGCCACTCCTTTGCCCTGGCCAGGCCTGCCTCCTTCTAATTGGGAGATGTGAAACAAACCACCCGGTAACTCAGCTCTGAAGTGAAAGGTGCTGCAGGGCAAGTCCTCAGCACCTCCGGTGTGGATGTCACCCTGCAGTGCCCCCACCAAAGAGCTGCTGTTCCAAAAGCTTCCAAGGAGGAAAATGGTAACTAAATCAGTTCTTTTGTGGTCTCTGTTAGCATGATCTCCAGGTTAAGGGACCTGCCACAACTAAGGGGCAGCAGAAGCAGTGCCTGTGGGCGCTGATGCCAGCATCAGGGCTCTGCTCTCGGGAGTGTGGCAGCTGGAAGCCCCGCCCAGCTTCCCTGCGTCCTGGGATCTGCAGCAGTTGGCACGCACAGCTGCCCCATCCCTGCCTCCAGCTCCGCCCTAGGACAAAGGGTCAGCAACCTGGCCGGCGCAGAGTAACTGATCCCCTTGCCTGAGGAATACAGTCCCTCTCCAAAAATGGAAAGGGCGAAACCTCGGTTGGCCCAGAGCACCCCCCCCCAGGGCAAAAGGCGAGGACAGTTCTCAGAAGCCCAGTGACCCATGTGGTGAGGAACCTGACATTCCAGCTGCCTTTCAGGCCCAGGGGACTTTTGTGGCTTTTCTGATACTTCTAGAATCTTCTAGAATGCTTCTGAGTCAGAAGCAGAGGTCAGGGCTGATCTTGAGAAAAAAAAATCAAAACAGCTGAGTTCTGGAAGCTTTGTCTGAATCCAAAGTAACTTTGTTTCAAATACAATTAAATTGATACAGTTTAGTTTTTCTTTTGTGACCTTTAGTTACATTAAAACAGGTCCTCTCTGCGCAGGGCTGGCTTTCTTCCCTGAGGACCTCTTGGACTCCTGGGGCCATCCTCAAAGTGGCCGCAGCGCTGACTTCAGGCCTCCAAGTGAGGTTAGGGTGGGGGTTGGCTTCTGGCTGTTTTTAACCACCCTGGGGTCTGTGGAAGGTGGCACGACCCTGCGCTCTGTGCTCCTGTTCGCCAGATGGTGCTCATGGCCATTCTCCGAGCCAGCCCCGTGGGAGTTGGCATCTTTTGAAACCTGTTACGAAACACCCACTGACCCGTCCCAGCTCTTGGTGGGCGAGGGCGCTGAGCAGAGTCAGGCCAGTGTGCAGGAACTGGGGGCTTTGCGCTCCCGCGGCGGAGGGCTCCCCTTCCTGCAGCATGCTCCTTCCGGGCACCACCTTCCGTGTTTCCACCAGTTTTCCCGTTGTCATTCCCAGCAGGACGATTGGGTCCCTGCAGGCCTCAGAAGTGCTAGCTGCATCTGTGACACACACGGGGTGACCTGCTGCCCCGCTCGGGTCTCTTGGTCAGCTTTGCCCTTTGAAGCCTGGCATTTTCCTGCTGGTGGGCAGGGACACCAGGCCTGTCAGTGCCGGTGCTCCTGTCTGGGTCCTATGGGTGCTGCAGGGAGGGCTGGCCTGGTGGTTCAGCAGCCAACGCCGCCCAGGAGGCCACAGCAGTTCTCCAGCTGCAGGTGCTTCCTGGTGGCATTCCAACTCGCTGTGTTTGAATACGGCCTGGGGATGTGATTTCAGCTGACCCTGGGCCTCTGATCAGATGAGATAACTACCTCTGGGAAGAGACCGGCACCCTCTTATCACCTGGAGACAGGACTGTCCCAAGTTCCAGGTTTTTTTGCTTATCTCTGGGAAAAGCCCTCCTACGCCTCCTGGCCCCCCCGACCTAGAGCCTGTTATCACTCATCAGAAATGTTCTTACTCTTAACTAACTTGGCAGTAATAAAATATCCTTATCATGGGATCTAGGCTCAAGGGAAATTTTGAAGCACTTTGAATGCTGATTAACTTTTAAAAACAAAAAAGGAAGTGTAACTATGAAATGGCCACAAGTGAAAGAAAGTTCACACACTTTGAACACCACAGGGAAATGCCCAGCTCCTAGGAGGGGCAGGGTGGGCCCTGCAGGAACAGGACCTCCTGTGGCAGCTCTGACCAGCTTGTTTTCAAACCTGCACCCAAAGCCAAGAAGATGGTGCTGTGTCTATAAATCCATCATGTGAGGCCCGTTTGACCTCTTGGCAGTGGCAGAGAAAAGACAAGAGAGGGCTGGGGTCTACAGGAGAGAGAGTGAGGGGAGCCCTGGTTCCTGATCACTGGTCTGCTGATGTCTTTAAAGGACTCACCTGCGTTTTCCTGGACAATTATGAAAGAGGCACGGTTAAGGATGAGGACCCGAATGCTCTGATACCTTAGGCTTATTTACAATAAATTTTGTGAATTATTCTACTTGTCAAAAAACAAACAAATTAAGGACAAACCTGGGGAAACGGCCATGAAGGGGGGAGCTGTACCCGCGGTTGGAGCGTCCGCTGGTTCTTCGGAGGCTCAAGCAGCCTGGGAGGAGCATGAGTGGCTCTCGGGTGCCCAGGAGGATCTCTGTTCCCTGGTGTTTTGTTGCCTCCGGAAGTTGTCACTTGAGGCTAAAACTGCAGGTCAGGAGGTCCAGAGGGTTGATGTGGGTGTGGTATTTGCAGCTGATTCTCAAGGTTTCTATAAATTGGTTGACACACTGGAACGTTGGGACTGAAGGTAACTCACCTGATTAGCACTTGGAGTAGTCAGCAACACCCGACATCCTGTCGACGGAGGCGGACTTCGGGGCGCATGGAGCTGTGTGGTGGGTGTGTGGCCACAGAGTGTTACCTGGCTGGTAATCACACCTGGCAGTTCTGTGAGACTCCCGGGGAGCTGTGCCAACGGACCACAGCTGTAGTGACAGCTAGTGCCAGGCCAAAATCAAATATTAGTTCTCTAATTTTTAAAATCAAACAAGCAGACCAGCATTCTTCATCCCCTTGAGCCTTAATGACAGGCTGTAAGTACAGCTGAGGTCAGTGTTTCCAAATAAAGGAAAAACTTCTGACTTTGAAGAGATGGACCTTGGACGCTTCTGATGAAAGATATTTCTAAATTTCCCATTTGTATTTGAAAAGCACAAGCTCATGATTGTCATTGTATATGCCCTTTGATCCGATGCAGCTGCCCAGGGTCATAACAGCTCTGTTGGAAATCCCATCTGTTTTGTGGCACTTTGCAACTCTGAAACCAAATGATGTACACAAAATCATATGATTACTATCAGATTCCTGCAAACAAGAAAGGTACCAGGAAACGACACTTGCCACCCAGCGGGATGTGGCGAGTGGGCCAGGCGCTCATCGCGGCTGCCCTCCCCTCTGCTGAGTAGCCCGTGGCTGAAGCCTGGCTCGAAGGAGTCGGATTATCACACCAACTTGAACCTTCCCTCTAGGGCCGTGTTTTGAATGAAGGTCACACACACATCACGGGGCAGCGAATCTCAGGTTCCCCAGGGCCCAGCCTGTGAATGGAAGGATGTGTTTAACCTGGGAAGGTCACAGGCAGGAACCAAGGACAACGATGGAGGGAGTGGGGCCCCCTGGGCTGCAGGCCTCACCTGGAAACCACAGCACGGATGACCAGTGGTCCACGGCGGTCTCACCCTGAGCACTGCGGCTGGCCTGGGCGTCGAGCGGACCTGGGTGTTGGGTGGATGCGTGCGTTTCTTAGACTGCTGCTGCTGCGGACGCTCTGAGCTGGAGTTTCCTCTGCTGTGCCAGGCTTTGCTGGGGGCCATCAGCTCGCTTGCAAACACAGGTGCCTGATCCACAAGCCACGGCCTCCCTCATCCTCCCGCCCTTCCAGGGTGGTGAAGCACGTCCAGCTGCGAAGAGGAGAGAGGATGGGCTGTGGGCTTTGTCTGGGAAAGGGGGGCATTTAGATCAGTGGACATTGCAGCTGTGGTCGTGGGGTCTCGAGTGCCCCTAGTGAGGAACAGGTGTGTTCCTGCTGCAGCCTCCGAGGTCTCTGTTCCCGAGTACCCAGGCCCCCAGTCTCGGGAAGTCGCTCTCCAAAGCCTCCCCCAGGGCACAGCTGCGGCAGGCGGCAGCCCAGCACCCTTAGCTGAATGTGGAAGTTAGGTTTTCACTGTGGGAAGGGTGAAATCTCAGTCTTTGGCACCCACTCCCCATTTTCTCTGTGGTGCGGATCCATACCCAATCATCTTTAAATCTTCTGAGATTTAACAGTAAAGATGAAATTGAAATTTCAATTTAAAATTTAAATTTTAATTTATTTAAATAAATAAATTTAGATTTCAAAATTGTACTTTATTTCAATTTTGAAATATAAAATTGCATTTCAAAACTGTATTTTGAAATGTATTTTAAAATTTTATTTTCATGTTCAGACCAATAAGCAGACTTCCATAAAAATATGCTTAAATGAGGCCTTCTCCCCCAAAATAAATAAATAGCAGCTTCAGCTACTTAAATAGAACACAGTCTGAGTCAATGGAAGTATTTTTACAGGTTATAATTTGTAGAGGGACATGCTTGGCTTTGGGAATAAATGAGATAAAAATGGCTGCTCCAGTCGTCTCTGCACCAGCAGATTCAGTGGATTGTATGGCCTCTGGCTTCAGTCCACCCACTTCCCCAGGCAGACGCTCATGCTGGCTGTGTGCCCTGTCTGTCTGTCACCTGACTGCCCAGCATTCTTTCCTCATTGGCAAGAGGAGGCTGGGGTTGTGGAGAGGCTGATCTAGGTGACAGTGGAGATGACAGCGGAGGTGACAGGCAGAGAGTGCTCGGAGCTGCCCTGGAACGGAGCAGTTCACTGGGAGGCAGAGGGTGTGCTGCTCAGAAGGCTCCCAGCACAGACCTTCCTGACCTCAGACTGGGTGTGGCCAGTCCCGTCCTTTTAGGACAAAAGGTTAAAATCATCAAGAAGCAGGTCAGCCCCAGCCCTGGCGGGTGCTGCCCAGCCTGCAGGGCTGATGCCACTTCAGAGGCCACGCTCTGTCCTATTTTTAGCGTGGCAGCACCACCTGCCTTCGCAGCTGCCTCTTGAACAAAAGGTTCTGCCAGGCCTCTGACACCTCTGGGCCCCGCGGTGCCTCTGCGCGGCAGCCAACCCGGCGTTTGTGCTGAGTGGCGTGATCTGTAAGCACGGCCTCTCCTCCACCCCAAACCTTGAGCTGGAGCCGACATCACTCCCGTTTCACAGCCACGGGCAGCGTAAGAAGAGGCAGAGACGCGCGCCCCGGCAGGACGTCCAGGGTCACTGCCTGGTAGCACACGCTGCCGGCCGTTAACCCCAGCCCCTCTCTTGAGGGCTCTCCTTCCAATGTGAAATACAGCTGCAAGTCCCCTGTGGCCAGGTGGCCAATCAGGGCAGAGCTAGGCTGAGACAGGGTCTGACTTGACCTGCAACTATTTAAAGCAAGTGGTCACTTGGCCACTTCTCTACTCCAAAACAGGGGTGTTAGTCCAGATTCTCTGCTCTGCTTTTGGCAGGCAGAATAACCTGTAGCTTGTGCCTGGAGGAATGGGCTCTGTCCTCCACTCTCTAGGTGAGAGAGCCACATGGAATTTCCAGAACTCCCCTTGGTGGAAGCTCATGGGATCTACCCAGGAGGGTGGGTTCCAGGGAGGTGGAGGGAGGGGCTCCTACCTGACCCCTGGTCCCACCTGGCCTTACTCGAGGGGAACGTTGGTCCTGCACTCAGAGGCCTCTTGGTCTCCAGGTATAAATTTCCCCCAGGCCCTGGACGGCCTCTGCTGCCAGGAGCCTGTGGCCACAGCCACCTGAGGAGCCCGAGTGCCCAAGGAGCAGTGAGCTGCCCTCCAGCACCCGCCGTCAGCCGCGACCCAAAGCCATGTGGGCCCTCTCGCTCCAGCCTAGCGGTGTCAGCCCCCCCGCCCCCCTCTTCTCAGGTCTTGGTTTTAAATCTCATAATCGTGTATTTCAGACTTTCTTTTGGATTCTTGCAGAACTCTCTGAGACTTCACTTGTGGAAGAGAACCAAGTTGACACTCTTAAACTTCCATTTATTGAACCATTTATTTGCATGTTAAAATCTTCTGTTTAGAAAACCTGACTTACCTGTGTGTCTTGCTGCCTGGGACTTGGGGTGCCTGTGGGCAGGCACAGAGGGAGGGAGGCTGCTTCTGCACCCAGGGCCCGTCTGGCAAGCTGACCAGAGGTTTCCGTGAGGACCCTGCCTCTTCTGCTGGTGGCCGTGCAGGACAGACAGGGCAGCCTGGCGTCTGAGTAGGGACCCAGGGCCACGGGGCAGGAGTCACGCTGGCCTCTGGGGCATGGTGTTCCCCACAAGGAATCGACAGTCCTGAGGCCTGAGTGTGCCAGTGTATCAGGGACAGCCAGGGACAGCAGCGAGGTGGGGCTGCAGCAGGCTCAAGGTCTTGTACAGGTTAGTGGAAGGACCGTGGTTTTCTCGTCTTTGAAATGAGAAGCCAGTGAGGGTTTTGATCAGAGAACTGAGTGACAGAGTCTAGCAGGTTTTCAAGGACAGTGTGGGGTGGCACGTTGAGAGTGAACCAGGGAACCAGCAGGACTAGGGAGACCAAGGGGGACTGAAGTGGCAATCAGGCCACACCATCTGGGGGCTTCTCCAGGGTAGTGCCCCGCAGGTCAAGAGCTGGCCAGACACTGGGGACCTGGTGAACTCACGAGTGGGCCAGGTGGGCAGGTCGGGTGTGGGCGTGAGGCGACAGGAGTTAGTGTGGGCTCCCGGAGTGTGGCCTCCGGTGGACATGGCGGTCTCCTGCTTCCTGAGCGCTGTGTCCACTGGTGCCCCCTTGCTCTTCAGAGATCCCAGCCAGTGCCTCACGAGCAGAGCACAGGAGCAGTGAGCTCCTGCTCCTGCTGGCTTCTCCGAGCCTCGGGAAACCTGCTCACGCTAAAGCAACGTCCAGGACCGTTTTGTGAGGACGGAGCCACGGCGACTGGACTGAGGCTCCGCTGCAGACCTTTTCTCTTGTGTAAGCAGGACTTTGGCCAAGAGAGTGCTTTACCTTTCAGGTTATGATACAGACTGTTTGAACCTAAAACGTGAGTCCTATTAGGTTTCTTTGTCTTTTAGGACTATCTATAGGGCTCTAGAATTCGCTCTGGGTCCTCAGGAAAACCTCAGGAGGCTGCCCTGGGAGGTCCGATGGGCTCTCAGGTGGCCTCATGAGGCAGGTAGCTAAGGCGCACCGGAGGAGGGTGTGGATGAGGCCACCTGGGGCTGCAAGGGAGGATGGCATCGGCTGAAAGGGGCCCTTCTGCTGCACACGGACCCCACGTTTCGCCCTGAGCAACTAAATGTGGCTCTCCTTGCTCCCAGGCACGGGCCACTTACTTGCTGCAACAAGTGCCAGGAAGTCAGCATTAATTAACTCAAACTGAATTACACGTAAATGACCTATCTGGCATTTCTGTGACCTCGTTCTGTCTAGTCTGCGCAGATCCTGATCTCCTCCCACCAGTGGTCGACCCAGCAACTTGGGCTTTCACTGCAGACACGGTGCAGGGTCAGATCGCGGCCCCTCGGCCCACACCCTCGGCTTCCGCTCGTGACCCGCTGTGCAGCAGGCCTCCTGCCCACCCACTCTGATTAAGGCTCAGGTCGGAAGACATCTGCGTAGAGGCCCTGGGGAGAGTCGGAAGCACCAGGAGTTGGTGTGTCCGGGGGATCTTGTGTTACTGTGCATCACGATAGACCAGCGAGAGACCAGCAGGCGCCACCCTGGGCTGATGCTCAGAGAAGCAGGGCAAGCTCTGTGCAGCATTGGCTGCGTCATCTGCTGCGAGACTCGGCCATGGTGTGGGTGGCATCTGGCCTCAGGTCCTGGGTTGGTTCTGGAGTGGACACTTGTGTTCCAACATCCTCTCACAGGGATCAGGACCCGGATCTGCGCTGGCCTTCCTAGCCGGCTGGGGGAGACGGGCTCAGTCTTCTCTCCCAGGTTGAAGAGGGAAAGGTGGCAGCAAAGAGCGTCCTCCAGACACCTCCAGTGGCAGGGAGCTGGCAGCCAGGGGAGAGCGCTGCAGGGGTGGGAGGGGACGTGCCCAGGGACACAGGTCCAGTCGCGAGGGCAGCCCACATCCTGGGAACAGGAAGGCCTGTCCTCTGGGGCAGGGCTGGTGGGGCGTGGGGCTCTGTTGTGCGGGAAGATGGGCGTTATGAGACACATTCCTTGGAATTTATTCATGGAAACACATTCCATTCCACTTTTAGCCTACATTTCATTTTCTAAAAAAGCAGAGTGTTTTGTTCTGCTGAAAAGGATATGTAGATATCACAGGGCACTGGAGTAGACGCTCCACTCGGAACCCTGGGTTGGAGTTTCCTGTTCTGGAGTGAAACTCCAGGTGGAGGTACAGACTATATAAAGAAGGAGGAAGCAGACACCCTCCCAGACTCTGGAGCCCCTGGCCAGGTCCAGGTAGCCAAGGAGACAGGCATGGCAAGGAGGGCCGGCATCCCAAAGAGGAGAGCGAGGTGCCAGGGAGCACGTGTGGGTGCAGTGCAGCCCCCAGCCCTTCACCTCAAGCCACGTGGAGGGAGAATTCGCCTGGGTGCCTGCCGGAGGGTGGGTGGGAGGTCAGAGTGGACTGGGGTCTGAGACCTCTCAGGAAATCCGGAGGGCAGGGAGGCCAATGAACCATTTTGGCAAAAAAGCTGGAAGTTTGCTGCCGTACTCCCTGGGACCACAGCGGGAGGACAGGGAGCTCAGTGGAGACCTCTCTCAGAGTGAGGCCACCTTGGGTGACCTCAGGTAGCTGTGGCGCTGTTCCTACACGGAGCAGAGTGTCACAGGACTGGCCCAGGCTTCATTCTCACTGTGTAAGATGTGCAGGCAGGAGGCCAGAGGGGAGGCCCCCGAGGACCTGCCCTGGGAAGGCCGGTGGGACCTGGGTCACAGGGAGCGCTCCCATGTCAAGAGCTTGAATTCTGTGACCACAGGGGCCCACGGGCGCAGTGTCGATGAGTGACGTGCCGGGACTCTGCCATCTCCCTCAGACGTCCAAACCAGAACAGAAGGCGGCCCGAGGTCCCCAGGTCCTCGCCATTGCTGATGGGGTCTGGCACAGGGCTCGGGTGGGCAGAGAGCAGCACGGCCCGGGGACAGAAGGCCTTGGCCTCAAGGAACAAGACTCAAAAATGGCTCTGGGGAAACAGTTAAAATGAGGGGCCTCGAGAGGCGAGACCAGAGGCTGCAGTATTTGGGGCACAAACAGAAACCAGGAGACACTAAAAAAAATTGCTTATGATTCCCCGGCTCCAGAACAGGAAACTCCAACCCAAAAATTGCTTATGATTCCCCTGGCCCTCGATTGCTAGCCCCGGGTGTGCCGGGAGTCTGAGGATCTGTGGGAGCAGCTCCCTCTGCCCAGGGAGCCAGCAGCTCCGCTTTCCTCCTGGCCGAGCTGCGGCTTTGCATGTCCCCCACCTGAGGTTCGTGCTGTAAGTCTCAGTGCCCTCTAAAGTCTCTGCAGAAGCCCCACTGGCTCTCGCACTCTCTCGCCTTGAGGCTCCCCGTTCCTCCGCCTGCTTTGCCCTGGTGGGTGTGCACTCCTTAGCGGAAGAGTTGGGCCTGCAGCTGGGATTCACCTGCCGGCGAGGCACTTCCTGGTTTCCTCTGTGCACCAGGTGTTGGGGTTGCTGCTGCACACGGACACGCTGCTCACGCCCCGGGGGGACGACGCTCAGCCAGGGTTGACCGTCACCCGCGTCTACTCAGAGCCTCTGCTGCTTTCTGCAGCCTGGGGTCCCTTTGTCTATTGACGCCCTAACCACCTACTGTCCTTGAGACCTGACCTGCAGGCCCTGGCAGGTGGCCTCTGGCCAGAGACCCAGCCTCAGACACCAGGGACAGGACGATGTCACCCCCTCTTCCCTCACAGCTGTGGGTGGCAGCTACACTTGTCCTGGTGGCACCGGACCTTTGTTTCTCAGTTTAGAAAAGTCCCTATTTGGGGTCAAGATGGAAAATAGTCTTTCTAGAGTGGCCTTCCTGACCTGTTACAGGGAGCCCAGCGGCCCTGTGGGTCTTCTGCAGGGAGGGGACCTGCCCGCCAACCCTGAGCTCCGGAAGAGTCTCTGAAGAGTCTGGCATCCACAGAGTTTCTATTAAATAAGGTGATGATGCCAACACTAAAAATAAGGAATATAGAGCAAGCCCTTAAAAGTCACCCAGCTGCCCGGTGAGAGGATTTGGGACGAGTTCTGGATTAAGACACAAAGGTTAAAGAAAACAGATTTCTGATAGGACTCGACCACTAAGGAAAGTCTTAAAGACTCTAAAGAGAACACGTGTCACTTGACCAACGGCTGCTGAACTCATGCCAGCAGGGCCTTTGGTGCAGGGGACGTGGGCTGGCTGCAGGGAGTCTCCTGTGGCCAAGCTGTGAGACAGTCCTGTGGCCGCCAGCAGGCAGGGCCCTAGGGACGCAGAAGGAGCGGCGGGCACCAGGGGCTGAGCGCACTCCCCTTGGTCAGCGGCAGAACACCTGCCAGCAGGGACTGGGCCAGACTCACTCTCCAGGAGGCAGGGTTGGGGTGCCCGGAAGGAAGGGAGGGTCAGAGGAGCCAGCAGAGCAGCTGTCTGCAGGGAAATGAGCACCAGGTGACCCTCCCCCAGGACAGCTCGGGTGGGCTGGGAGGGCCAGCCCTGGGGCACCAGCCCGCCCACTCTGCAGGGGAGCTCTGGCTTATATTTTCCCTGCTCAGCCGCCGACCACTGTGGGGCAACAGGTCCAAAGTTACCAGGAAAAAGTGAAAGGCCTGGTGGCTTAGGGCCCACTTGCAGGGTTTCCAACAGGTTTGTTTATTCTGTACCAGGAGGACAGGCGTGGAATGTGGACATGGACACGTGGAGGGGGCTGAGGGGCCCTGCCACAGGCCGGGCCCGGGAAAGACCCAACTGTGGGATCAGAGAGGGAGGGCCACGAGAGCACGTGCAGGCCACGTGGCACACAGAGTTCAAAGGGCAGGCAGCTGAGACTGCCAGACCCAGGATGGACGCGGCCTACATGGCCGGCTGGCAGGGCTTGGTGGTGGTGCTGGGTGCTCTGGAACCGTGGTCGGTGGAAACTGAAACACAGGAGGCTACTAACACCGTCATTAATGCTGTCCTTGCTCCTAGGCCCGTGGGCGCGCCCTTTCTCTCCCTGGAAGACCGGCCCCACCTGCCCTGTCCACAGCACCTCCTTGGCCACAGCAGTCTGCCTTCAGTTACCCTTGCAAGCCACCCAACGGGCTGCAGAGAGCAGGCAGGAGACCGACACCTTGGGAGGCCGCGGCCCAGTCCCCTCTGGGGCTAGTAGATGAGGCCTTCAGGCCCAGGAACATCCAGGAGTCCGTGGTGGCCCACGTGGTCTCAGCAGCCTGGAGGAAGGTGCTTCCTGGGTCCCCAGAGGGCTGGAGAGAGAGGCTGCCACACACCCAGCCGGCTCACCTGGTGGCGTCTGGGAGACAGGAGCCCCCGGTTGCCGCCCTCGCCGGTAGCAGCATGTCCACCAGCTCCTGGTCTGGCCCTCAGTCGCCATATGCATGTCGTGGGCAGGCATCCGGGGACGACTTTGAGATACAGTCCCTGGAGACCAGGTCTGACTACTGCCTACCAGCAGCCGGCTGCAACTACCACCCGCAGCCGCGGGCGTGGAGACGGCAGTGGAAGTAGAGGACCCACAGCGGCAGCCATCACCCTGTGGCAGGCACGTGGGTGCCTCTGCTGTCCCGCAGGGTGGGCTGTCTCCCAACCCCGTTGGATCTTGTGGCCTTTCCTGAGCCGGTGCCTGACTGGGTACTCACAGTGTGTCTCACTCACTGCCGGCACATGGAGAATGTCGTGGAAGAAAAAGCAGATTCTGCACTGATGTTCTGGGACTCACATGTCACTCAAAATCTTAATTCTGTTGACAAGGGGCACAATGCACACCACCTGCCCAGAGAAGGGGCAATCAGGACTGTCCTCCAAGTGCCTTCGTCCAGGAAGACACTGGCCACACGTGTGCTGATCACTAGCTGCAGCAGAAGAGGCACTTGGGGGACCTTACCAAAAGATGCAAATGAGCAACGATGGCACACCAGAGGATCTCCTTGGTACCCCAGATATTTCCCTAGTCTTTCTCTGAAACATTTTTAAGTTTAACAAAACTCACACTTTTTAAAAGACCGACACACAAGAGTTCACAGAGCACATAAGAACAAGACTTTGCACGTTTCAGGTGGGCTTTTGGAGTGAAGGGTGTAACGGATGGAAAACAGAAGGGCTTGGAGGTAGACTGGTCCTCACCTGTTTGAACCTGGCAACCGGACACAGGAATGGACCCCCGGTTCAGTGGTCCTCAAGGGTCAGATGGGAAGGCTGTGGTCTGCTCTGGGGACCCCCTGGCTCTCATGCCGGAGAGTCTCGCCCGCAGAGCACCTGTGGTGCGTGGCTGGGCTCAGCAGCAGGAAGGGCAGGAAGGCGATCCTGGTCACTGAGGTGTCCTCTGGGTCCCAGCAGGAATCTCCAGGGTGGGTTTGTGTCACGTGTGAGGTGGAAGGAGGGCTGAGGTGCAGAAGGAAACCGTGAGTGGGCACCAGGATGTGCAGAGGAACGTGCTGATGTGCAGCAGAGGGGACAGCTACTGGGTGACAGAGAATGGGCTACAGAAGGCCCAGAGCGGTGCTTCTCTGGGAATGGCCACTGGACGTTCAGAGGAGGTGAGAGAGCTGAGGCTCGAGCCTCGTTAGCACACAGGGTGTGGACCCCGTGCTTCTCCTCATGGCCATGACCACCAGGTGTCCCCCTGGTGAGGTCCAGCCCTCTATGGCCTGAGCAAGTGTCCAGTCACTGAAAGTTTGAAACTTTGAGGGTTCACCTCTGTGGCGAGCTTGCTTGTGGTACTTTCAACTCCCGAGCCCTCTGCCTGCTGGCTTCTTGTCACGTGAAGGTATGTTCCACAGACAGGAGCTGATTAAAAGTGCCAGGGCACACATGATCCCCCCCTGGAAGGCGGAAGAGAAGTTGAGGAGTCAGCAGGTTCCATCAGGGGTGAGAGTAGCCAGAGGCTGCTCCGTCCAGTTAGGCAGAACAAAAAAGATGCAAACTTTTCAAAGTTTTATTGTTAAATTATCTTAAGTTGATAAAGAGCTAATTCTCTCAAAGTATAAGACATAATTATTGGCTCCAAAGAGTTTTTACAGAATCCTAAAAAGCCATGCCTGGTGTGTGTGTTAGTATGTTGGCAAATCCTCTAGACACTCACGTCATGCTCACGTGGTTTGAAATTTGTTATGGTGGAGGGATCTCCTGGCATAGCCGGCCTTAGGAGGTGAGGGACTTAGACCTCACTTGCTAGGGCCGGTTCTGTTTGTCTGCTTCTTCCAGAAGTGCTCAGGTTGTGTCCACTAGGTGCACACGTGATGCTCATGGCTAGACTCACTGCAGGGTGAGGGAGGCACAGGCCACACAGACCTGGCTGAGGTGCACCTCTTCCTGCCTGTGTCACGTCACCTGGCAGACAGAGGCAGGAGTCACGCAGGTCTCTCTGACGTCCGTGGTTTGTCCACAGTCGGAGCTTCGAGAGGTCGCACCTTCCAGTGCTCTGAGGCCACTCTGCGGGAGCACTGTCTCGGTCTCACAGAAGCTCCGGGGACTGAGGCAGGACTGAGGCCACGCCTGCCCCACCGAGGTCCCATTCTCCCGGCACAGATTAGGTCACTGTTTCTCACAAAACTGGAATGAGCTGGCTCCGAACAAGGGCCCCCCAAGGAGAAAACCACAGCCCAGGCACAGACCACGGTGGGCTCCCTGCATGAGCGATCACGGGGAGAGGCGTGTTCTGTGCACCTGCACGCCTTCTTGGGACATCGCGACGTCATTCCAGGTCCACTCGTCCAGCACTGGCTGGACACTGTGTCTGAGTGTGAGTCCCCGTGTGTGCGCAGCATCTGGCACGATGGTCTAGATTCGCCTACATCTCAGAGTTGGTACCTGCGTGGCTGGCCTCCTGCCGCCCACCTCAGATGGGTCTGGTGCTCGGCCACATCCCATGCGAGGGAAGAGTCGCCATGTCAGGACTGACGGGCTCTCAGCCTGAGCTTCAGACAGATGCGCATCACATGGGCTTAGTTATGATGAGCAGAATCGTAGGGACGTTTCTTTTTTAAGAAAAAGTAGATTTCCACACTAGATTTCTATTCAAAGTAGAAGTAATGACACTATTCACACTTTTCTATTAAAAATTAAAGATGTGTTGTTCTGCTAGTAAGATTGTTCACCCCAAAAGGCTGTATTTAAAAGATGCACACTGAAAATCAAAGTCAGCAATAAACACAACTTGAAAATGAAGACAAGGGGTGTCCTCTTTCCTCATAGAACCGCTTGAGCCACTGTTCACTCTACGTTTACGCCCAGCTGTGGCACATCTCCTTTGTCTTCCGCAGGGGCCTGCAGCAGCCAGAGGTTCCTGCTGCACGCCCACCTCTGGACTGGGCAGGTGAGGAGTGCTGCACCCTGCAGTGTGAGGAGCCTTTACGCAGACAGGGCCACAGGCAAGGACCCTGCCGTGTCCTGCAGGGGAGACAGGAGCCTTTCCAGGCAGGCGGCCTGGGCCACTGGGGGCCACCAGAGGCAGCCTGGGGAGGTGGGTCCCGCTGAGCGGCCCAGCAGGCTCAGGCTGCACACAGCCAGATGGGCTGCTTTGGGGGTGGAGGCTAATGAGAGACCTGGCTGGACATTCAGGTGGGGAGGTGCAGCAGCCCCCTGCCGCCGGACTGAGCACAGAGTCCTCGTCACTGTCACCGAAAGCTCTTTACAAACTCACCTGCAGAGGTCCTCAGTGCCGCGTGCCAGATGGGAGGTGGGTCCCCACCCACTCGGATGCTGCTCTTGACTGAGTCCTTGCTGAACAGCATCCTGCAGCAGTTCTGGACCTGGCCCCTGCAGAGCCCTGACGCTGGGCACCCAGAGCCAAACCAGCCCCCGGTCCTTTTGGCGTTTGCCCTCTGGGCTGGCTCAGCTGACCTCAGTCAAACTGAAGCCTTGTTTCAAGTGAACTCTTTAAACTTTGGCTCTTTCTACACGACATAAAAACCATCTGCTGGAATATGGGCTCCCTGGTCAGTCCCTGACCTGCTGCAAGATTTTAAGGCCTTTTAATTTAATTTAATTTTTTGGTAAATCTAAGTAAAATGGCTATTTTCAGCATTCTGATAAAAAATATTTTTAAAGGGCCAGCATTTGAAAACAAACTTCAAGAAACTCCAAGAAGTTATAAAGATCTAAATGGCTTAAGCGATCCTAGCAGGGCTGGGTGCCTTCTCGGTCGGAGCTTGCCCAGGTGCCTGAGGCTGTTCCCACCCAGCACTGTAGACAGAGGGGCAGAGCGCAGCAGGGATGGACCACTGCAGGATGCTCATGCCTCTCTGGGAGACCCTCAGCACCGAGTGGTCCGTGAACTTCACAATATGGTGAGAGGTGGCAGCATCAGCTCCTGGTGGAGCCCAGCTAGGAGACAAGGAGGCTGGGGTCTCTGGCCCAGCTCCCCAGGAGATGGCCATGAGGCCAGCCAGCTGCCCTCACTAACAGGAGCAGCTCTCCACGTGGCCCCGCAAGCCCTGGGTCTGGGTCTCCTCCCACGGCAGCCCACAGGCAGCTCATGGTTTGCAGCATGTCACTCACCACTGGGTGTCTCCAGTCCCTTCTAGAGGCTGGGTCATCCACGCAGGCCCTGGGGAGGGATGCCCAGCCGTCTTCTCTGGGGCCCCGCAGGGCCTTCTTCCTCCTGGACACTGCTGCCACCTTATCAGCCTCCAGCCAGCTCTGCCCCTAGGGGAAGCCCCTTCCTCTCCTCCCAGCATCAGCCTGGGGGGTTCTACTGCTCACGGGAGGTCTGAGCGGCCCTCCAGGAGGACCTGGGCAGTGGAGGTCTGTCCTAAGGTCAGGCTGGCGCGGCAGAGGCAGGGGGCATTTCCTGCTGCTGCCCAGTGTCCCTCCTGGGAAAACTCTGTGGGGCGACTTAGGTGGGAGTGCACTCCTGGGGCCTTCCCCACTCAGGACCCCCATCCAGGCAGGACTGGACACACAGCCATGCTCACACTGCCCACACCTGGACGCAGGAGTCGCAGGAGCTTCACAGCTGCCTCCTGGCCTTCAGCGCTAGCCTGGTTCAGGAGCTGGGCTTGCAGTCCTTCCTGCTGAGCTACATGCCACTCAGCTCAGCCCTCTGCAAGACCAGTGCAGAGGACAGAGGAGAATGACTTTAATCAGGCGGTCAGTAAGGGCACTTCCCGACTCACAGGCAGAAAGCTGTCACTCCTTTCCTTACCCACCTGAGGGTCGCAGCCAGCACTCCTGAGTGGACAGCAGAAGAGCAAGCAGAGTGACCCACATGGCACAGAGCCTTCCAGAACCATGCCCCAAGCCTGAGGAGTCGTCCC